TGCATTTTCATGCATAGTTTACTAATTAAATTACTCATCATAGAGCAGGTTGGGGTGTGACTCAAATTCCTGTTAGATGGCTCACAGCAAAACTGTTTCAAGTGTAGTTTCAGATCTAGCAAAGGTGTCAAAATATAATCTGTGTTCATGATGGTGAAAGGCAGAGGGTGACGTGCTCTGGGGAGTTCACTTTGTTCTATTATTGTTGCAAGCAAAGAACATGTTTTGTAAATCGAAATTAATAAAGTTACAATCCGGAAATGAAATTTTGAAAAAGATTTTGCGGGGAACTTTGCTGCTTTCTCTGATTTTTTTCTTTATATTTTATTCCTTCAAATGTATTTTTTTTTTTCAAAATCAATTTATAAATTTTGTTTTTTTTAAGATTCAGCGTTCTTTGCTCACAACAGTAATGAAACAAAACTTACTTTACAGATGCACTCATCTAAAGCAGGAGTGTGGAGAGATGCAGAGGTGGTGCAGATGTTTGTAAGTGACCACACTGACCGCACACAGAAGGACAAAGAAAACTGCATTATTTCTGTAAGCGCTGAAAAACTAAAACAAAATAGGTACCAGTTATCAGCCAATTAGGATGTAAAATATCGTGATATATTGACCAAAATCCAATATTCTGTATCCCTATATGAGATGAGAAAAACACAGTGAAAATAAGCTTTTGTTCTTCATAGGACTTGCTGACTTTTCATATGAGCTTTTCATATCTCCCCCTGTGATAAATTTGATCTTAGCAGATGTTTATCGTATAAACTCCAAGTATAGTGTAAAATATCCTTTAGTGAACCTATAGTTTTCCTTTTTAAAATTACATAAATACAAGTTTTTTTTCAAGGTTAATGTAACTGAGATTGTCAGAATGCATTCCCATAACAGAAGGTTATAAACCAATAGGATACATTTAGGATTCTGATTAGGCTTTGAACTATTTTCTATATTTTCAGTCTGGAGATGCAACTAAGAACAGAACCTGTTGAGATAAATCAACAAAGACACCCTGTATATGTATGTATATATGTGTGTATATATGTGTATGTATATATATATATATGTATATATGTGTATGTATATAT